CTGTGCTCTGGTTTCCTTAAATATCAGTGCAAGACCACACAGGTAGAGAGAGCAAAGCTGGGGTGCCAGTCGAGTCTGCTTGTCAGACCCCAGAGTCCACGGCCTTTAATCACTACCCCCACCTCGACCCCCAGGAAGGTAACTATGGGAGAAGAGAGAGGTATAAACTCTGAGAAGGAAAAGTAAAGAGAAGGGGTCTGTTGCACCAAATATTAAAACATATGATGACGTTGCAGAAATGGAAACAGAAGGGGCACAGGCCTAGAAAGCCACAGACAGATCGATGGAGAGTTCAGGAATAGATCCAAACATATAGGAAAGTTTAGTGAATGATAAAATCAGGTAGGTATCAGTGGAGAAAATCTAAGTGACTTAACCAATGGTTTTGGTGCCATTAACTATAGCCAGTAGAGCTAGATCCACACCCTGCTTCTAGTGTCCAAAATTAATTTTTTTTTAAAGATTTTATTTATTTATTTGACAGAGAGAGACACAGCGAGAGAGGGAACACAAGCAGGGGGAGAGGGAGAGGGAGAAGCAGGCTTCCCGCAGAGCAGGGAGCCCGATGCGGGACTCGATCCCAGGACCCCGGGACCATGACCCGAGCCGAAGGCAGACGCTTAACGACTGAGCCACCCAGGCGCCCCAAAATTAATTTCAAATGAATTTTATCTAAATGTAAAAAAAAAAAAGCCCTCAAAAGTTCTTAAAAGTCTGTGCAAGTAGTTTATAATAAGGGGCAGGGAGGGAAGGGGGAAAGCAAGTCTTCGAAATATGACATTAATGGCAGAAACCATGAAGGAAAACAAAAAGATGAATAGATTTGGCTGCAAAAAGTTTTAAAATCTTTGTATGACAAACAGACTGGGGAAAATATTTGCAACAGAAGGAGAAAACCCATATATATTAGGGGAATTCTCACAAATGAATGAGAAAAAAAGCCAGCTCAATTCGAGAGAAAAATGAGCGACATACATACATACATACATAGACACTTTGTAAAGAAATCCAAAAGGGCCCATCCCCATATGAGAAGATTTGCAGTATCATCAGCAGGGCTGGAAGCAGGCTGAGGCCAGCAGTGGGTGGGGGCTGGGCAAAACTTAGGAGGCTTTCACTCTTGGGATGGTGCAAGTACAGGGTGGGCACCTCCTTAAATTTGTCAATTGATAGAGCCCTTCTGGAGGGCGGTCTGGCAAAATGGATCAACATTTTTAAACACGCAACCTCTTTGGCACAATGATTTCATTTTTAGGAATCGAGTCTAAGGAAATAATTAGACGAGTGTGCCAAGAAACACGTTCAGGATATTTCTTTGTAACATTAAAAAAAAGTAGGGGTGCCTGGGTGGCTCAGTCGTTAAGCATCTGCCTTCGGCTCAGGTCATGGTCCCAGGGTCCTGGGATCGAGCCCCGCATCCGGCTCCCTGCTCTGCGGGGAGCCTGCTTCTCCCTCTCCCACTCCCCCTGCTTGTGTTCCCTCTCTCTCTCTCTGTCAAAAAATAAATAAAATCTTAAAAAAAAAAAAAAGTATAGGGACACCCCTCCCATAGGGATTGACTTGAAAAATTGTTATAGCCGTAGACAGTCGTACCCAGTGTGAAAGGGTGGGTGTTGTTCTATAGTTGCATGGAGAGATATTTAGGATCTACCACACTGATAAGTGAACAGAACAGGAGACACAGCACATATAACATGATCCCACTTGGTCACCGGACCAACGTTAACGGTCCCTATTTCCCGGTGGTGGGATTGGCTGCAGGGGATGAGTACTTTCTTCTTCTTTTTTTTTTTTTTAAAGATTTTATTTATTTATTTGAGACAGAGAGAATGAAATACAGAGAGCATGAGAGGGAGGAGGGTCAGAGGCAGAAGCAGACTCCCCGCCGAGCAGGGAGCCCAATGCGGGACTCGATCCCGGGACTCCAGGATCATGACCTGAGCCGAAGGCAGTCGCTTAACCAACTGAGCCACCCAGGCGCCCGAGTACTTTCTTCTTAATACCTCCTGTGTTGTACACATTTACAGAGGTTCTGATGACCCTCATACTTAGAAAAGTTAAAATAAAACTTAAGTTTATCGGAGGGAGCGTTAACTTGTTGTTCTATAACTTCACCTGCCCCACCTAGAATTCTGCCTCCTGCAAGGAATTCTCCCAGTGAATGATTCTTTCGCCTTAGCTAAGAGTATTTCAGAGCTGCTATGAGGCCATGCTCTTTGTCAACCAGCCACTGGAACAGAAGGATCTTTGACCCCTACAGCTCCACCCAAATACACAGAAATCGGTTCCAGAGGTCCTTTTGGGGGCCTTTTTGGGGACCTTCTATCATTATGATCAGTGAACTTTGGGGATTCAGAGTCGTTTCTTAAGGACCTTAACGATCACCAAGACCAAGTGAGTCCTAAACTGAGTCTGTGGGACTTCTTTCCTTCTTTCCTTCCCCCATCTTTCTCTCTCTCCCTCCCCCCTCTTCTAATTGTGTCAGAGACATTGATCTTAATTTTAAATGCACAACTGGATGAATTTTTACATATACATACATTCCTGTAACCACCTCCCTATGAAGGAGCACGTTTCCAGCCTCTCAGAAGGTGTCCTTGTGCCCCATCCTCCTCAGTGCCTCTCCCAGAGGCAATCAATCTTCCCACATCCTCCACCACCATTAATTAGTTTTGCCTTTTTCTTGAATTTCACAAATATGGAAGCATGCCATATGGGCTTCCTCCTGTATGGCTTCTTCCGCTCGACATAGCAACTATGAGATTCCTCCAGGCTGTTGTGTGCGGCAGCTTTTGACTTTTTCATCGCTGTATAATATTCCACGGTGGGAATTGTGCAAAAACTCCACCATCGGTTTCATTCATTCTCCAGCTGATTGAGTTGTTTCCCTTTGGGGCTATGAATGTTCTTGTACAAGCTTTTTGGTTGATGTGTATTTTCATTTCTCTTGGGTATATATGTAAGATTCGGGGTTCCTGAGTTTGGGGATAATAAGTGTGTATTTAGCCTTAGTGGACACGGGGAACAAGTTTTTGAACTGAAGGGAGGGATGATCATAATAGCCCCTAGTGTATAGGGCTGTTGTGAGATTAAATGAGATAATCCAGAGACACCTGCATGGCTCAGTTGGTTAAGCATCTGCCTTTGGCTCAGGTCATGGTCCCGGGGTCCTGGGATTGAGTCCCGCATCAGGCTCCTGGCTCAGCGGGGAGCCTGCTTCTCCCTCTCCCTCTTCCTCTGACTCCCACCCCCAGCTTGTGCTCTCTCTCGTGCACGTACTGTCTCTCAAATAAATAAATAAATAGCCTTTTTTAAAAATGAGATAATCCAGGCAAAGTACTTAAAACTGGCACACCACGGGGCACCTGGCTGACTCAGTCGGTGGAGACCAGGACTCTTGATCTCAGGGTTGTGAGTTCGAGTCCCATGTTGTATGTAGAGATCACTTAGAAAGAAACTCTTCAAAAAAAATAAATAGGGGCGCCTGGGTGGCTCAGTCATTAAGCGTCTGCCTTCGGCTCAGGTCATGATCCCAGGGTCCTGGGATCGAGCCCCACATCGGGCTCCCTGCTCAGCGGGAAGCCTGCTTCTCCCTCTCCCACTCCCCCTGCTTGTGTTCCCTCTCTCGCTGTGTCTCTCTCTGTCAAATAAATAAATAAAATCTTTAAATAAATAAATAAATAAATAAATAAATAAACTGGAACACTGAAATTTACAAGCCGTACATCATTGCTGGGATGGGGGGCGGGGGCACATGAAGCTATCCGGGGAATTTCTGTTAACTTTAAATTAACTGTTAACTTTAAATATTCCCATGATGAACTAGGGGCACAAGGAATTAGGGACACAAGGTCATGTGATATAAAAGTGATACATGACTATTATTTTAAAAATTCAAATGAAATAGAAGTATATAGAGTAAAAAGTGGAGTTCACCCCATGCTTTTGAAAATTATTATTATAAAGGGGCACCTGGTTGGCTCAGTTAGTTGGGTGTCTGCCTTTGGCTCAAATCATGATCCCGGGGTCCTGGGATCCAGCCCCGCATCGGACTCCCTGCTTGGTGGGGAGCCTGCTTCTCCCTCCCTTGCTCCCCCTGCTTGTGCTCACTCTTTCTCTCTCTCTCTGTCAAATAAATTTTAAAAATCTAAAAAAAAATAAAAATTATTAAAAACTACCACGCACTAAATATTTTGTATGCATTTTCTTATTTTATCCTCACTTTTTTATTCAACGATGCTGAAGATAGGGAAGTGGAGGCTGGATTTTCAAAGCTGACCCAAAGAATGCCTTACTTGGGGCTGGTTAGTCCCTCTCTCCAGGCCTCAGTCTTCCCATCCACACAGTGAGGCGCCTGATAATCCTTCAGCTGTAATAATCACAACTCCACGTCTAGCTCTGGCAGAGGAGGGGCTTGGAGTTCTGCCGCCCGTGTCTCTGGGATACAGCAGCAAAGAGCCATGCATCCTTATGGCCCAAATAGGCGTCACCCTGAGTCTCTCCTTGGCCTCATGCACCCAGCATCCAAGAATGGCATTAGGCTGGCCGGCTGGCCGCTGGAGGCCCTGTCCTGTATCTCTGGCCTCTCCACAGGGCTGCTAGGCTGACCAGGCCCACAGTGGCTAGGGAACAACCCTCCCCTCCCCCAGGGTGGCAGCAGGAAGAGGGAAGAAAGAGGATCGTCTCCAGCTGGCCCGGGGAGACAGACCTCCTTGTCCCCATCAGCCCTCCCCGCCACCCCCGCCCCAAGGGCTGTCCCCAGGGGCTTGGGATCAGCCAGAAAAGTCAGGCAACTTTTCAGGGACCAGAAGGAGGGGAGAGGAGGTCTCCCAGCCTGTGAGCAGCTCAGTGCCAAGCCCCACCCCTCGCTGTGCCCTGTCCATAAGTCCAGATTTTGACCCTGAGCTCCAGTCCCAGTTGGCGGGCAGAGGGCTGAGGACAGGACGCCCCAGAATCAGGAGACTCCCCTCAGGAGATAAGATCCTGCGTCTACAGCAGCTGTTTCTTCAGAAGTTGGGCAATTCAGGTGAGTCGGGGTGTCAGTGCACCAGGACTCAGGGTCCTCCCAGAGTTAAGGAGAAGGCTCCACATTAGAGCCCAAGGCGGGTGACAGCTCTGCGGCTAGGCAGGAACATAGGCAAGTGCCTTCACCTTTCCAGACCTCCTTCTCCTCATCTGGAAGGCAGCGATCATAATCACCTCTTCCAGGGTTAGTCTGAGTATCAAAAGAGGTGATGAACAGAAAGTGCTTAGCACAGAACTCGGCACATAGCAAGTACTCAATAAATGGTCATGATTATTTGGGGACAGGGGGCTGGTAGCCTGGTTGTCAAGCATTTCTGTTCCTGTTAAGGGTAAGCTGTGAAAATATCAACAGCAGAAGAAGTACCCATATGGCACAACCTGATTTTGTTCATTCAAATACCTTGCCCGTGATTTGTCGATTTTTTTTAACAAGTCTCCTATTTTTTTGCTACACGCAAATAGCAATCAAAGGCACAAGCTGCCCCAAATTCCTTTTGAGGGACAAAGGAGGTTATAAGCAAACATGAGACTGAAAAGCAAGCAGAAAGCGTCAGGTGCCAACTTACTGCCCACTGCCTAATAGTTATATAGCACGGTGCAGAAAGCTCAGATAGAACAGAGTCCAGATCCCAATGCTGCCCCACACTGGCTGCGTGACTTTGGGAGAGTGATTTCCCCTCCCTGAACCTCAGTCCCACGTCTGTAGAACCTCCCAGAGCAGTTGAGAGGATGAAGCAAGAGGACATCTGTAATGAATCTACACGTGTGTAGTGGCGAGTGGCAGATGCCCCAAATTCCCCTCCCGCCCCACACTTACGGACATGTTATAATTCCACACACACGCAGATAAATGTGAGAAGCTCGGCAGCTTCCCAGATGCACACTCCAAGTTAAGGGTGCAAGACGCGGGAGAAGGGCAACACTAACAGGAACACCAGCAACAACGAGGAATGGCTGACCTAGCAATCGAGCCACGCGCGTGCGAGTCCACAAGTTCATTATCCACGTGCATGAATGATTTTACCTGAGGCTGGATCTGTCAGATCCCACAGCTTGGCTTCTGCTTCTCAGAAGAAGCTCATGCATTTATACTGTACTCTAATGCACACACACGGGTTGCTATAATCAGCATCAGATCTGAGTCCTGCAGTTTAAGATGACTAGCTTGGGAACCACATTTTTCCTTCTCAATTCTATGCCTACCAGCAATGCACTAAAAATTCGTACACATGTTGTATGTTATGGGTTCTTTCAATGCAGGACGCTGAAATATTTATTGGCTGTTTATTTTCACCTGTTTCGCCCTCTGGTTTTTTTCAAATAGCATGATTTGCCAGCCTCGCATGGTGTTGTTTAGGGACACGGACTTGTGAGTCAGGCTGTGCCGGGCTCCGCTTCTCACCGCCAGCTGGGTGTCCGAGCCTCACTTGCTTCTTCTGGAAAATAGGCATAATGATAACCCTGAAGGGTGTCAGAAGATGAAAGCAGATAAGGCACATACATTTCTTTTTTTTTTTAATTTTTTTAAAAGATTTTATTTATTTATTTGAGAGAGAGAATGAGATAGAGAGCATGAGAGGGGGGAGGGTCAGAGAGAGAAGCAGACTCCCTGCTGAGCACGGAGCCCGACGTGGGACTCGATCCCGGGAGGGCACATACATTTCTTAGCGCAGGGACTGGAACAGGCTATATCAGGGCTATTGTTGTCTCTGTGTCGACAGTTCTTTTCCTGATTCAACCTATTCTTGCCTTTTCCGGAGACTTTTTCACCCCAAGACCCCACAAACCCTTTTATCACAAACACGTCATTTTGGTAGAGTCTCTCCGCTTTTCCAGGCCTCAGTTTCCCCATCTGTATGACAACGTCTAACTCATCGTTAGCATTTTACGCTCTGGAGAAACTGAGTCCCACGCTGTTACTTGTCCCTCTTTATCTTGGCCATTTGGCTCCAGATGTTGTTCCGGGCGTCCCTCATGCTCTTCTCTTGGGCATGTGCCCCCGCTCCTAACCAGAGGCTTCGACACACCTGACCAGCCTGGTTATCGGAGACAGGCCGTGTGCCTGCTTTGCTTCAGGCCGAGGCCTCTTTCTTCCTGCCCAGAAACCTGTGGAGGGTTTTCACACTCTCCTTCTCGTCCCTCACAACCTCTACTATAGAAGCAGCTCCTCTTTTTCTCCATCCTTTGCTGGTTTTCTAGGTGGCATGAGAATGGAAACAAAACAAAACAAAACAAAAAAACCTCAGGCCCTGGAAAAGGCAGAGCTGGGTTCACACCCCACCTTTCCTCCAACCCTTGTTATAACCTCGAATAACTTAGCTTCCTCTCTCTGTCCTTGGCCCCCTCACCTGTGAACTGGGACGGTGACAATCACTGCTGTCATTTATGAGCTCCCCAGCACTTAACCAGTATTTTCTCTTTTGATCCTCATAAGAACTTGATACATTCATTCATGCATTCATTCACTTGTTCATTCATTCATTCTTTCATCCATTCGTTCATTCATTCGCGAGTCCCTGTTATATATAGGCAAGGCACTATTCTAGGCCTTGGGGATAGAACAGTAGATAAAAGTCCCCACCCGGGGCCCAGTCGGTTAAGTGTCTGACTCTTGGTTTCGGCTCAGGTCACGGTCTCACAGGTAGTGAGATTGAGCCCTGCATTGGGCCCCGTGCTTGGCAGGGAGTCTGCTTGAGTGTCTCTCCCTTTGCGCCCCGCCCCCCCTCCAACTTGTGCACACACTCTTTCACTCTCTCTAAAGTAAATAAATAAATCTTAAAAAAGAAATGTCCCTGTCCTCCGGGAGCTGATATTTTGGTGGGGAGACAATGGGCAGGGAGCTTTGTAACACTTAAAAGTCCACAAAAGAGGAAATAGAGGCTCAATCAGGATGAAAACTCATCCTTGTTTGCCCCAGGACTCTCCTGGTTTTTGCTCTCAGAGTCCACATCCTGGGAACACCCTCAGTCCTGGGAAACTGAGGAGATTGGTCACCCTCGCTCAGTTAAGTTAAGCGACTTGCCCAGGGTCACATGGCTGGGTGTGTGCCAGAGCCAGGCTGCGAACCCGGGTATGTCTGACCCCCAGCCTGGGCTGTTACTGCTGCCTCTTGGATTCATTTGGGGAATTTGGAAAGCCCTCTATTCTCACCTTCTTATTGTTAATGCACAAAAGTGGTCAACTCTCCTGAGTTATGCAGAGAGAGTCAGAAGGCCCAGAGAGGGGAAGTCACTTGGTCAAGGCCACACAGAGGGTCAGAAGTGAAGCCAGGTCTGACTCTCCCTTCTTCCTCTTCTCCTCCCCTCCCCCGCCCCAAGTTCTTTCTCCTTGTTATCTTTAAGATGCCCAGGGGACAGAAGGAGGTCACTACATACTGAGGGCCCTACTCTGTGCCAGGTGCGGCACCAGAAACTTCTGCCAAGCTGGTGGATTCATTTTCAGGGTGACCCTGGGAGGTCAGGGTTACTCTTAGTTTACAGATGAGGAGATTGAATCTCCTGAGGCAAAGTAGGGGGGGAGGCGGGATGGGAGGAGGCTAGGGGTCACTGAGAGGGTCCTGCCCCTGCAACCAAGCCTCGCAGCAGGAAGGAGAATGGTCCAGAGGAGAAATGCTTTTCCGTTTCCTGGTTTTATCTCCAACTTGGCTGCTGAAACCCCAACGGAGTCCAGTTCTTGTGGGCTGGAGCCGTTTTCCCCTTTTACAAAACTAGGCCGTATTGAGAATGTCCTGCCGTTCAGTGCCACGGGGTTGCCAGGAGGCTTGGTCTGGGAAGAGGGCTGTGAGTGTAGAGGAGGGAAAGTTGAACTTGGCCCTTCCGGGCATAAAAAAGTCCCCTTGTTCTGCCTCAGCAGGAGCCCACAGGGTATTTCCCTGCTGTGTGGGGGCCCAAGCAGCTTCAAGGTCCAAAGCTGCTAAGCCTTTTAAACTTCTGAGGACCCAGCCAGCCCAGCCCCCAAGGCCGGCCCTGAGCGGTTGTGCTGGAAGCCCCGAGTTCTAAAGTCAGACCTTGCACCCACTAGGTCCCAGCTTGGTTCATAGTAGGTGCGCCGTAAGTGGATGTTGAGTTTACTTGAACCGAAATTAAATCCTGGCAGCATCACTTACTGGCTGTGTGACCTCAGGTAACTTACTTCGCCTCTCTGAGCCTCCTTTTCCTCATCCGAACAATGGGGCCAATAACCCCAGCCTCCTGAGAATGTGGGGCGAAGCACTTAGCCCTGGGGTCGGTACACAGTAGGTACTCCATGAATGTCAGTAAACTACTTCTTTTGCACTTGACCCTATGTTGAGGCTTTTACACTGGCCATCTTGTTAAAACTCCCATCTTTCTCCAAGGTAGACTGTTATTATCTGCCCCCCCCGCCCCCGTTTCCCAGAAGGTGAAGGCTCATGAGCATCTTGCCCAATGTCAATGGCCATTAGGTGGCAGAGTTGAGGTATGAGATTTGAAGCTAGAGCCCATGGTCCTCACCGCAAGCCCCCAAGTCTACAGCCGGCCAGACGCTCCGCTCAGCCCTATTTATGTTCCTGGCTTGGGGCAGGGTCTTCGGGGGAGGCTGCCCAGCCAAAGCTGCATCACTCACCCGCTGACCCGTGACCTTGGGCAAGTTGCTTGGCCTCTCTATGTTTCCATTTTTCCATTTCTGAGGGTCATTAAGAGGATCAGGTATAGAAGGGCTTGGCGGTGTCTGGCACTTTCTAAGCCTTTCAGGGGACAGTGGTGATGGTGGTGATGGCAGACTGCAACCTTTCCCCCCTGCAGGCCGGCACGATGCGCGTGGTGGTGATTGGAGCCGGGGTCATTGGGCTGTCCACTGCCCTGTGCATCCACGAGCGCTACCATTCGGTCCTGCCATCGCTGGACGTCAGGGTCTATGCAGACCGCTTCACCCCGTTCACCAACAGCAACGTGGCTGCTGGCCTCTGTCAGGCCTACCTCTCGGACCCCAGCAACCCACAGGAAGTGTGAGTGAGGGTCCCACAGGGCGGCCCGGGGAACTGGTGGGGCTGAGTTTGAAGAGGGGATGCTCCCTCTCAGGGTTCCCGTCACCAAGAACAAGCCCCTTGTCAAGGCTTAGAAGAAAATACTAATAAATAGTAAGGCCTACTATGTGCCAGACAAATGGAGGCTTTCCTCCATGCCTCCCCTAAACTGGGTGGCTGTGGATGCCATGTGCATGGATGGATCAGGAATACATGGTATTTTTTTTCCTAGTTTATTTATTTAAAGATCATTTTCGGGCGCCTGGGTGGCTCAGTTGGTTAAGCGACTGCCTTCAGCTCAGGTCATGATCCTGGAGTCCCGGGATCGAGTCCTGCATCGGGCTCCCTGCTCGGCGGGGAGTCTGCTTCTCCCTCTGACCCTCCTCCCTCTCATGCTCTCTGTATCTCATTCTCTCTGTCTCAAATAAATAAATAAAATCTTAAAAAAAAATTTAAAAAAAAATAAAGATCATTTTCATCTGATTTCCCCAGTGGCTAACAGGAAACAGAACTCTTTAGGGGCACCTGGGTGGCTCAGTCGGTTAAGCGTCTGCCTTCGGCTCAGATCATGATCCTGGGTTCCTGGGATTGAGCCCCCACATCGGGCTCCCTGCTCAGAGGGGAGTCTGCTTCTCCCTCTCCCTCTGTCACTGCCCTTGCTTGTGCTCTCTCTGTCTCTGTCTCTGCTTCTCTCTCAAATAAATAAATAAAATCTAAAAAAAAATAAAAAGAAAACAGAGCCCTTCAAACCCCAGCAATAATTGTAAAGAAGGACAAAATGCACTAAAGTCCTTGATACTGGGTACAGTAGGGAGCAATTTTGCCCTCAGAGACGTATTTTTTTTTCCATATATAAATTCATAAAAAGATCTTTCAGTTTATTTGAACTCATTCTAATTGCCATTTTTAACAGCTATATTTAACAGCTTAGAAATCTAGCTCCCCTGAATTTGCCCATTGTGACAATCATTTTCATTTAACAATTTCTTTTTTTTATGTTTTTAGTTTAGTTCCAGTTCGTTAACATACGGTGTTACATTAGTTTCAGGTGTACTATATACTGATTGAACGCTTCCATACATCGCCTGGCACTCACCACAAGTGTTTTCCTTAATCCCCATCACCTATTTCCCACACCCCCCACCCACCTCCTCTCTGGGAACCATCATTTTGTTCTCTACAATTAAGAGTCTCTCTCTCTCTTTCCCCCTTTGTTCATTTGTTTTGTTTCTTAAATTCCACATATGAGTGAAATCATAGGGCATTCGTCTTTCTCTTACTTCGCTTAGAATTATACGCTCTAGCTCTGTCCATGTCGTTGCAAAAGGCAAGATTTCATTCTCTTTTATGGCTGAGTAATATTCCACTGTATATACAGACCACGTCTTCTTAACCACTCACCAATTGATGGACACTTGGGCTGCTTCCGTATCTTGGCTATTGCTAATAATGCTGCTATGAACATCGGATGCACGTATCCGTTTGAATTAGTGTTTTTGTATTCTTCGGGGAAATACCCAGTAGTGTGATTGCTGGATCATAGGGTAATTCTAGTTTTAACTTTAAGAGGAACCTCCAGATCAGGAATACCTGTAAATGGGTGGATGGACGAGCAGGTGTAGCAAAGACGTTGCCAAGGTTATTTTGTCTGTGTAGAAACCGCAAACTGCCGGCTGCTTCAGCCAAGAAGCCCCAAGTGTGTAATGACTCGAACAGAAGTTACGTTCTCCCATAAATTCCAAAACCGATGTTCCTGATCATTGGGTGGCAATTCAGGGGCCCGGGCTCCTTGCATCTCGCAGCTCTGCTGTCCTCCTCTGTGGCTTCTGATGTCCCATCTGATGCCACGGTAACCGTGTCACCATACCTTCTGATGTCACTATGCTGTGCTTTTGGAAGGAGCACAGCATGAGGACGACATGTGCGGTCTTAGGGTACATTGGCCAGAATGCAGTCACATGGCCACACCTGGCTGCATGGGACTCTAGGCGATGTAGCCAGTTACGTGCCCAGGAAGAAGAGGAGGAAAGTGTTTGGGACCAGCAAGCTAAGGTCTCCTGCTGGCATTTATACGGGGGGGAGGGGGAGGTGCTTGGAGTGAGCCTGAACTGTGGGGCAGATCTCAAGGCAGGCCTGAGCCTTCATTTAAACTCGCAGCTCCATGATCCCAAGCCCGAGATGAGCTCCAAAGGGTTGTGATGGATCATCCCTTGTTTCCGCCCTTCTCTTTCCTATTAGTGGGGAAATACTAGAAAGTCTGGGCTTAGGGAGGACCCATAGGCATTTGGGACGCTGCAGAAGTGAACGTGGTGGATTTCTGGATTTTGGCATATCCCCACCAGCCTGGTCACAATCCCATGCAAGCCAACCCTCAGAGTTTTCTTGTCCAGCTCGGGGTATCAGGTGACCGAGAATCTGTGGGATCCTTCCAGACATTGGAACCAGCAGACCTTTGACTATCTCCTGAGCCACATCCATTCTCCCAATGCTGCAGACATGGGCCTGGCCCTGATCTCAGGCTACAACCTCTTCCGTGAAGATTTTCCGGTGAGTGAGGGGTCCTTGTTCACAGACCAGGGCTGGGAGCCTGAGTCTGGGGAGTACTTTGAGCCTTGTGGGTGACAGCCTCTTGCATTCAAATCAGGTTTCCTTTAAATTCTATTTATGCTTTAAAGTTACTTTTGTTTCCAATTTTGTTCTTAAATTGGTAGAGACCAAAGAACTTTCTGATGAAACACGGTAACTAGCCTTTGGTTGAGTCAAACCCAGACATGTCCTGTAGTGGTGACGATTTCATGCTGAAGTCACAAGGTTGCCTGGGTCCCTGGAGGTGCCAGGGCTTTTTGCCAAGATAGACTAAAACACTCATCATGGCACATGAGCCCTTACTATTTACCAGGCCCTATGTTAACTACTTTACGACTAGTGACTTATTTAATTCTCATAATAACCAGCAAGTAAGTGCTATCGTTAGCCTCTTTGTACAATGAGGAAATAGAAGCTCAGAGAAATGGAGTAACTTGCTCAAGTCACAAATCTCTTATGTGGCAGAACTGGGATTTGAACCCAGGCTGTTTGTGATCCCATGGTGCCTAATGCGTTAAGAAGGGCACAGCCTTGGGGGATGTTCTTAAGTTGCTGGAGGGGATGGTTGGGCGGGGTGTCCAGAAACCCAGGCCAGCTCTCTAAGGCTGAGTCAGTGTTTAGCACCGGGCTACAGGCATCACCCGTATTATCTGTTCTCTTTCACTGGACCAAGAGTGATTATTAATTCCATTATACAGACGAGAAAATGGGAGTCTCAGAGAATTCAAGGTGGTCCGTGGAGAGGCCCAAAACTCCACCAGGTTGTCTGACCCTATGCTCGGCTGCCTCCCACCCTCACCCCTTGATATAACCCTCATTGTCAACAGTTTCTCTCCTATTTCTGACTCTTACCCTATCACTCGCCCTCAGCCTTATTCTCACCCTTCCTTCGTATAGCATCATGGTTAAGACCATGGACTCTGAAGCCAAACTGTGTTGGTGCAAATCTCAGCTCCATCGTTTATTAGGTGTGTGACTTTAGACAAGTTGCTTAACCTCTTTAAGTCTCAATTGGCCCAGCTGTAAAAATGGAGATAAGAATAGTATGTATTTCACTGGATTGTTGGGGATATTAAATGGAGTGGTATAAGTAACATACTTGGAACAGTGCCTTACATGTGGTACACATTGTACAACTTTTTATTGACTTTCACCCATCCCTGGGCCTCCTTCTCTCCTTCCTTGGCAGGATCCGTCCTGGAAGGACACAGTTCTGGGATTTCGGAAGCTGACCTGCAGAGAGTTGGACATGTTCCCTGATTACAGGTGAGGTTGTTATGGGCAAAGGGGCTGAGGTGCTATGATTCAGACAGATCTGTTCAGAAGGCAACAGAAGATGGAGGTACCAAGTTTCCTATTCCACCCCAAGCCAAGAGCCACTGATACCTTGGATTCCTGCTGCTCTGTTCAGCTCCTTTGGAGAAGCCACCCACCCAATAAGGGACCTGGGCTAAGATGGTGGGGGATCACAGATCTGAAGCCCAGAAGCTCCATATCCCTACTCTCTTTTGTAGATGAAGAAACTGAGCTTCAGAGAGCCTAAATGACTTCCCAAGGTCACACAGCCAAGTGACCAAAATGGGATTCTAACCCAGTCTGTGTGACTCCAAACGCCTCTATTCTTTCCCTTGCAGCCTGATGTCTCTTTGGTCCTCCCTTCACCCCACCCCATGCCTGAATACCTTCTAAGAATGCACATCTGGTCTCCATGTGCACACCCCAATGTCAGGGATGGCTTTTCTGATAGAAAAAATTTCCTTGCACTGAAAACCAGTCCCCATTTGAACTTCACTCAGTGGTCCTGGCTCTACCCTTGGGGGCCCCCTAAAGTGAGACTGCTCCCACCTCCATTTGAAAGTCTTTGAATATCGCTCTGATTCTGATTCTTTATTACCACTCTTGCCTGTTTTTTGACTCTAGCTATGGCTGGTTCAACACAAGCCTGATTGTGGAGGGGAGGAGGTATCTACCATGGCTGACTGAAAGGTGAGAATTTCAACTTTGGTTTAAGGAAAGCACCTCCCAAGGACCAGGGTGTCTACTGACAATTGTTCATGGGATTTGTTTTTGTATTGACCAACCCCAAATGTTAAAGGACAACTCTTAGGCTTGGTGGGAGCTATCCTTGGTTCTGATCACTTCTGTATACTAAACCATGGTTTCCATATCTGATTGGGCATCAGAACCATCTGGGCAGATCTTTACATGTGATATTTATTACTGACCTCACCAAAATCCATAATGTTTGTGTAATGATTTTAAATGGATTCTCGTAAGTTTTCCAGACATATTTACATCATCTGCAAAACAGAAGTTGCCTTTTATTTTTATAACTCATTTTTTTTTCTTGTCTAACTGCTGTGGTAACTACCTCCAGAACAATGTTAACTAATACAGGGTATAGTGGTTGTCTCTGTTTTGTTTCTGATGTTAATAGAAATCTTGTAGTGTTCTAAATTAGCAAACATTAGCTTGAGAGACATATTTATATTTATATTCATATTAAGGAAGATTCCATATATTTCCTATGTTTTACTATTTTATTAAGATTTAAAAAAAAATCTAGAATGGATTGCAGCTTTTATCAAATCACCTGAGGAGCTTTTAGAAATATAGATTTCAGGACCCCACTTTATATCTACTGAATCAGATCCTCTGGGGTGGGGCTTAGAAATTTGTGTTTTAAGAAGTTCCCTGAGTGATTCTAATTATCAGCCAGGTTTCGGAATCATTGCACTACAACATAGTTATTTCTCCTAACGCTAGGATACTTATGACTCCGATCCAGCCTCTTCCTAGACAAAATATCCCCACTTTTTCTATCTTGAGGAAATAGTCCTGAGGTTATGCTTCACCTTTCATAGGGTTTACTTCCTGTTCTTTTGATGTTTCTCCTACATCTCTAATAATGACAGATATTTTTCCTCTGGGACATTTTGAGGGAGGGGTGGATGTCCCCAGTCCACCTTCCTCCTCATGCCTTGCTTCTGACAAAGGGGCGTTTAGCATTGGTCCAGCTCTGCCCCTCCCCCACCCTGCATCTCATTCCTTTTGATGTTACAAAGCAATGTGGTGGTAGTAGGAAGAGTTTTGAACTAAGAGGCCTGGGTCTAAGTCCCAATCCCGTCATTAACTCACTGTATGACCTTCACCAAGGCTCTTCTCCCATCTCCATCTGCTGACAAGGGGCTTGAGCCATCTCAGTTTTCCCATGGGACATTTCATGGACCACTAGTCCATCAAGGTGCTTATGAACTGATCTGATCTGACTACACAGCCATTTTCTCAAGGAGCATCCTATGGGACTATCATCCACAGAAGTTTCTTTAGGGAACATCCCCCATGCCATCACCTTGGAGAGATGGGACAAAGAACTGAATACTGGGCTTTTTGATGTGTCTGATCCCCCCAGGTTAACTGAGAGGGGAGTGAAATTCTTCCAGCAGAAAGTGGAGTCTTTTGAGGAGGTGAGTTGCAGGGCTGGAAGGGGCTGGATGTGGGAGAGAGGTGAGGAGGGGAGGCCTCTGCTCCCTGTTGCTGGGTTGGGGGTCCCTTGTCACACTCCCAGGGTCCCCCTGAGGCCTGTCCCAGGCCTTTCTTGAATCCCAGAAGGACTCAAGCATTCTGTCTTGATGTTGGTGGCTGGAACAAAGGGATGGTAGGATAGTGGTGGACATTAGGGGCTAATCTACCTCTGAGCCTCAGTGGGTTTTAGGGCCAGAGAGTTGGCTGCCTCTTACCTGTATCAGCTGCACTCCACTCTTGAGTTCCAGACACTTGGTTGCCTCCTACACAAATCAGGGTTGATGTTTCTGCAAAGTTAAAGCTCTTAGCTGACTTGGCTCCAGAGTAACACCATCATCAATAACAGTGATAGTAGCAACTATCACCATCAAGCACTGGCTAAGTACCAGGAGCTTTGCTGTATAATGTCACTCAATCCTAGCACCTAGAATTGTACTTGGCATGTGAAGGTGCTTGGTAAATGCAGCTACTGGCATTATATAATGAGTACCTCCTCCGGGTTGAGCCCTGATGGGCACTTGGGATACATGGTTGACTCAGACACAGCCCTTATTCCCAAGAAGCTCACAGTCCAATGTAGCAAATGCTGGCTTTTGAATGACAACAATGCCTTGCAATGTGTGTGCCCCATGACAGACCTGTGAGGGGAGGCACTGGCACTGGACTAGGGGTTTGGGTGCCCATCATGCTATACCCTTGAGCTGTCAAGTATCCCACACATGCACAGAGCCAGGGGTTCCACCATGCCTTCTGAAAATGCCTTGGCAGAGCAGAAGGCAAGAGAATGAAATAAAAAGGATTCAGAAGGAGGAAGAGAATTATCTCTGTGTCTGACTTCTTCTGGGAGGTCCCAAGAAGGTTTTCCCCCTTCCACAGTACTCCTTCCTGAGCACTTTCACATCCAGGGTCACATTGGATCCTCACACAGTCTAAGAACAGATATCACCAGCCCTACTTTATAGTGAAGGCAGCTGAGCCTTGAGGAGATGATGGAACATTTCTGAGGTCACATAGCAGGTAAATGGCGGAGCAGAGATTTGAAGTCCGCTCCTTGGATTCCTCATTGAGCCTCCTCCCTGCTGTTCCATAGGGAGCAGAGAGATGCAGGGTGGAGGGCAGAGGGAAAGAGGGGAGGGAAAGAGGGGCCCTACCAGGGCCTTCACCCCTTGCCATGCCACCTGCTCTGTTCGTTGCTGCCAGGTGGCAAGAGGAGGTGCTGACGTGATTATCAACTGCACTGGGGTGTGGGCTGGGGCATTGCAACCAGACCCTCTACTGAAACCAGGCCGGGGACAAATCATTAAGGTGAGTGTGAAGGTGAGGGATGGAACTTCCTGCTTTTCTTGATAGAGAGATTGTAGCTGCCTGCTTATTTCCTCTCCAAAGATAGAGGATGTGTTGGGGACATCTGTTAGAAGAGCCTCACAGATTTCAGGCAATTGACATGTTAAAGAAGCAAGAAGGACCAACATGACCCCTCCAAACATTCTCTTTCGGGTTTTTTTCATAATATAGCAAAGCAGGCACGTATATGTTTTTACATATGTAGGAAGTGCATATTCCTGTATTATAATAAAAAGAGCAAACATTTATGGAGTGTTTATTAAGTACCAGGTATAGGCCGGAGCACTTTATTGTGCTATTAATTTAATCCTTACCAGAACCCTTTGAGATGAGGTCTATCATATTGCCATTGTTACTTTGCAGATGGGAAAACTGAGGCAGAGAGGAATTAGGTAACATGCACAAATTCACATGGTGGTGAGTTGTGGAATTGGGGTTAGAATCCAGACAATCTGATTTAAGAGCCTATGTCTTGTAAACATCATCCCACATTGCTTCTCACTGTGTATGTGTGCATGTGTGTGAAGGATGCCCCTTTGTGGGCATGTGTGTATGTGTGCCTGTATGAGTGTTGGTGTGTTCCTGATGTGGGCTGAAGTGTATGTGTATTTGTACATGTATGCTGGGCTTTTCTGTGGTCATGTAGGTGAAAATGTGTGATATTTCAGGGAGCGGGGGTGGCTCTTCCTGCAAGGGCAAGCAGTCAGGGCAGACTTGGAGCAGAAGGGTCAGCAGAGGGCTTAGGAATTGGCTTTGCCACACTTGTCAGAACATCTAGGCAGAGAGGGGAGCAGAACAGTGATCCAACTCCCCCGATGAGACTTGTCTGCCCTCAATCAACAGGTGGATGCCCCTTGGATGAAGCACTTCATTCTCACCCATGACCCAGAGAAAGGCATCTACCAGTCCCCATACATCATCCCAGGGTAAGAATCTGACATCTTAGGGCAGAAGAAGGGGCACCTTCATGCCCTCTCTATGCTGCCCACCCCAGGCCCCTTGCTTAGTCGCTGCAGGTTTTTTCTTCCAATGTTTTCTAAGTGAGGTTGAGCCAGTAAATCCCTGGAAAGGCAGGACTCAACCTTAACTGGGTTCCATCTTGAACAAGTTTTTGGACGACCATAGTGGTGATGCTGGAGACAAGGGTAGTGGGTGTGAGGGCAATGACACTGGAAGGTGTGAACAGAAATAACAGGAGTGTGGTGGGAATGGGGATCTGGGTTGATGGTGATAATGATATTAATGGGAGAGGTGATGATGTTCGTGAAGATGGTGGTCATTTTGATGGGATGACAATGTCTTGAGAGTGGAATGGTGATAGTGGAGATAATACTGTCATTGTTGGGAAAGTTCACAGGGGTGGTGATTAGGACAAGGATGGTAGAGTGCTGACATTAATGGGGGTGGCATGGTGTTGAGGAGGAGGTTGATGATGATGGCAATGATTGGGAGTGGAGGCAGTATCTGGTGCTGATGGAGATGACGCAATCGATGATGTTAATAGTATGGTGGAGATGACAATCTCAAAGGCAGTGTTATTCATGTTGATTGCAACATTAATGTTAAGTGGGGCTGTGCTATCTTCATGGTGATGTTAGTGGTGTGACAGAGATGACATTATCAATGGCAACATGAATGCTGGTGGTGGAAATGGCAAATGGGGCTGATGGTGATGACATATTCATGATAGCAAAGAAGGCAGTTGTGAAGATGATGTTGACGTAAATGATACTTTTTCGTTTAAGATGTAATTGACAAATGGTGCACATTTACAATGTACGTGACAATTTGATATATACATATATTGCGATATGATTACCACAATAAGGTTAGCTAACACATCCATCATGTCACATAATTACGATTTCCCTGTGTGTAGTGAGAACATTTAAGATTTACTCTCTTAGCGATTTTCAAGTATACAATACAGTATTGCTAACTACAGTCACCATGCTGTGCACTGGAAGAGATGACGATGTTGACAGTGACATTAATGGTGACAGTAGAGATGGTGGTGGGTGGTAATGACAGTGGTGATTGCAATGGTGTTGATGGTGGTGTTAGCAAGGAGGACCATGTGGATGGTTATGGGGATTTAGGTAGAGACGGTTGGAAGGGTGAGCATGGCGATGGCTCCCCTTTGTCTCAAAGGCTTCATTTCCCTTTGTCATTGACTCTCCTCACTTTTACCTAGGATCCAGGCAGTGACTCTGGGAGGCATCTTTCAGCTGGGGAACTGGAGTGAGGTAAACAACATCCAGGACCACAACACCATCTGGGAAGGCTGCTGCAGACTGGAGCCCACCCTGAAGGTAAAGTGGGGAGGAGTATTGGTACCCTAGACCAGGGTCTTGGCAGCTTGATCATGAGGTCCCTTGAGGATGGGAAGACACTGCCACTGGGATAATTGGGTACATTTATTCCAGCAAGGGATTGTGAAATACACCAGAATTTGATAATGCATAAGGAAGTCCTACTGTGAGCGGGTGACACCTATCTGTCCATGGCTAAGAGTTGCTGTCTTTTGAGATGCCAACCTTAAAAACACCTTAGTCTGTCTGCACAAGGAGCAGACACATTTGTCATAGAAATCTCAGTGTTTCTCCTTTGTTTGTTTTGACATCTGTTTTTTCATTTGCCTGTTGGTGGCGATGACAGTGGTGATGTTGATGGTGATGAATATGCTCAGGATGGTGATAATGAGGGTGAGGAGGCATGACTGTTCACATCATGGTGGTGGCTGGTAGTGGTGGTTGATGGAAATGGGGTCATCGATAGAACTGGTAGTGATGTGGCAAGAATGACAATAATGATGTTGGCAGCTGATAGTGGTGGTTAATGAAAGTGATGGTGTTGGTGGTGATAATGAGACTCCAAAGCTAACTCTGTCACTTAAAAATGGCAGCTGCAAAAAAAAAAATCTGGAGATGAATTATTAACACTCTTTTTTTCCAGGATGCAAAAATTATTGCTGAATTGACTGGCCTCCGGCCAGTACGCCCCCAGATTCGGCTAGAAAGAGAACAGCTTCGCTTTGGATCTTTAAACACAGAGGTATGCTCTCCTGGCAAGGAACGCAAAGTCCCCCCCTACCCCTAATAGGCTCTGGCATTTCCAGTCTTGCCTGACATCTGGCTTCACACAGCCGACTGGCAGGCCAGGACAACGCTGGCTAGCATCCCTTCCTCTGTAAAGAAACTGAGGCTCAGGGATGTTGTAAAGGACCTGCTCAAGGTTACGGAGAGGGCGGTGCCCCTCAGTTTGTCAAAGCCTGTGGTCGGGCAGAAGGAAAACAGGTTACTGAGACATGAAAGACCTCCTTGAATCTCCCCTCCAGCTCTTTGTGATAGGTCCTGCTTCCCCCATGCTTCAGATGAGGATCCTGGGGATCTAAGACATGAAATCATTTGCCTCAGTCAGACAACTGGTGAGGAACATGGCTGGGATGTGGTTTGAATTTGCAGATGTCTATTCTGTGGCCGTTCCATCAGTTCTCTGGGGTCCCTCTTTCATGTTCCCTCTTCTGGGGTAGGAGCGGGGCTTCTTGAGATGGTGGAAGATGTCCTGGCTGAAGGAACTGACCTGACTAGGTGGTAGAGTCCCCACAGGAAAGCCATCCTCCTCATGTAGGTCATCCTTCCTCCCTTATGCCGGGCATGTGGGGTGTGTGTGTGTGTGTGTGTGTGTGTGTGTGTGTGTGTGTAGAACAGTTTTGTGTATAGGGGATGTATGTGTATGTGTGCTTGCATGCACGTATCACACATACAGAGGAAAGAGTCACATATGGAGTCAAACTCCCTGCTGATGGTTTTAGCTTTAAAAAAGGCCCCAGGGGTCTTGCCTCTGTCCCTAGGACAAATTAGCATGCTAACCAGAGTCCCCCCGTACGGTGCCCTGGCTTTTCTTTCCTCCCGAGGTGGGTAGAAGAGTCTCTCTATTAACACAAGAGGTTTGGCATTCTGGAGCAGGATGGGAACAAGAAAGGTGATTTAGGGAACTTCAAACAATTTGATTGGAGGAGGGGAATCCCTGGCCTCAAGTTCTAGATGATTCTACTTTTTCTGTGCTGAGTGCAGAAAGCAGGTCCATTTCCTAAGCAAAAGAGAGTCTAGGGTGTTGACCTCCAGCTCCCCAAACAATCACCTTACTGGTGTTCCTGGGACCCCACCATCCTGCCAGGGAGCTGAGAGGCCCTCTGGTTCCCTCTGGCTTTGCCCAGAACTTTTCAGGGAGCTCCTGATTCTTCCAGGGCACTCCTGGCTACCTTCTCTCTTGCCTCTCCCAGGTCATCCACAACTATGGCCATGGAGGCTACGGGCTCACCATCCACTGGGGCTGTGCCTTGGAGGCAGCCAAGCTCTTGGGGAAAATCCTAGAAGAAAGGGAGTTGCTCAGGATGCCGCCACCCCACCTCTGAAAACACCACCTCCCCAAGGACTCCCTGCTCCCCTCAGCCAACCAATCAATGCACCCCCTCTAAGCTGTCACTCACTCTCCACTTCCACCCTGGCTCTTTTCTGCAAGAAGCACAAGATGAGAGGGAATCCATAAGGTCCATTCCTGGAGGCAAGTCTGGCCCTACCTGGGGCTCCCTTTGATCACTGGGGTCTCTTTACCCACTCTGGGCCTGACAGAATGAAGAACAGCTGGGGGCTGACTTATTTTAAGTCCTCAGAAGAAAGGAAAGCTCAGAAAATCAAAGGGGCAAGCAGAAAATTGAGGATAATTGAGGTTAGGTAACTTGAGGACAAATTACATTAACATATTAAAGGTTCTGAAAAGTCCTGCAGCAAAGACATCTATTTGATGTTCTCTCATCCAGTCCTAAACCTATTTGGCTATGGAAACCTTTTTGCCCAGAGCACTGACGCCACAGAGTACACCTGAGGGAAGGCTGTGATAGATCTTGTTGCAGGAAGTCACATGCAGAGCTGGACTGTGGGGAGGCCGAACAGGTAAGGCATTGAACTAACAACGTGATACCCGTTCCACATCCAGGATTCCCAACAGCATCAGCAACCTGCTAAATGGCCCCATGAGCACCAGGTAACCTCTGAGGAGGGGTCGCCAGAGGAATCATCCCACAAGGAACCCCTTCATAGAGAACTGAACTCACCAAGCATAATCCTTGTTGGGGGGGCAAACTTAATGTCTCTCTTCTCTTCTGGCTGGTACCTTCTGAGATGAAATGGACTTCTAGATGTTTTTGAAAGCCTTAAATGAACCTAGAGGGCACCTTAGCATCTTTATCCCTAATTATCTGCATCAGGCTCTGAGGTGGAATTTGCGTCTGTCTGGGTTTTTGAGAAAGACCAGAGCCTGGAGGAAGCCTTCATGCATCTGGGACCCGTGGCACCCTAAGTGCTGTGACGAGGTCTTGACCGGCCCACGCCATGCCATCTACATCCACGCCATCACTCTCTGCTCCTTCCCATTCTGTGGCACCTGGTGGGGTCTTCATGAAGCATCTGCCATGATTTTGGCTGACACTGAGCTAAGTAGAGTGAGGGAGCCAAGATCTAAGTTAGAGTTCCTATCCTAATCATAAGAATAAGAATAAATTATTAATTATTATTATTATACCTAAAATTCATTGCATTCTAACTGGGCATCGGTGCTCAACTCTTGCACGCATTACTCATGTAATGTGTAATCACACACACCTGCACCCATGAAGTAGATCTTATTCCCATTTCATAGGTGAGCAAGGTACAGGGAGGGAGTTCTAGTCAACAGCTGGGAGGGGGTAGAAAGGAGATCCAGGGCCAGGCATTGGGTGATTCCAGCACCTCACTTTCAACCAGTGCACAACATCGAATCCCAGGCTGGGGGTGGGGTGGGGTGGGGTGGGAATTCAGCTATGGAGGAAGCTGTTGAGCATCTTCCTCAACTATCTCTGCAGACACTTTAGAAGGAACTAGCTCTCTCCTCCTCATAGCCTCATTGGGTCAAGACTAGCGACTCGCACGAGATTGGGTGGGGGTATCTCCCTGTGCCTGGAGTGGAACACAGCATTCAGTTTCTGACCAAAGTGATGAATTTACCCAACCTAAAATTCCCCAGGGAGAGCGACCCCTACCTGTTAAGGTTAGGTTGTCAGCAGGAACCCGATAGAACTTAGAACACAATGAACTCAGAAAAATATACGGGGCCAGGAAGTCCACATTCACACCCTTCCTGTTCTTTTTGTAAATGGGAAGAACCTCTTTGCAATGTGGTTTCCTCTCAATTCTGCCTAAAATTCAGAGTAGAAGGAGCACGGGGAAAATTCCACAACCCACACGGCACTGGAGGAGGTTTAGCAATGCTTGATTTCTTCACTTTCCCTTCGCCTAACATTCCTGCTCCCTCCCTGAAGATGATCTGTAACCAATTTTTCAATGAATTCTTGGCAGCTTGATGAATTTAGACAGTATTATCTTTCCTCGTTGAATTGTCTCGGCACTTTTGTCAAAAATCAATTGACCATAAATATATGGGTGTATTTTTTGGAATTTCAATTCTATTCCATTGACCTATGTCTATCCTTATGCTAGTACCACACTATCTGGATTACTGTAGCTTTGTAAAAAGTTTTACAATTAGGAAGTGTGAGTCTTCCACGTTTATTCTTCTTTTTCAAGTGGACTTTTTTTTTTTAAACTCTTCTGGGTCCTGTGTAGCTCCATATGAATTATAGATCAATTTGGGGGGGTATTGATTGACACCTTAACAATTTTAAGTCTTCTGATCCATGAACATGGACTATTTCTCCATTTATTTAGGTCTTCGATTTCTTTAAGCTATGTTTCACAGTTTGTAAAAGGCTTGCCCTCCTTTTGTTAAATTTATTCTTTTTTTAAAAAATGTTTTATTTATTTATTCATGAGAGTCAGAGAGAGAGAGAGAGAGAGAGAGAGGCAGAGGCAGAGGGAGAAGCAGGCTCCCCGCCTAGCAGGGAGCCCGATGCGGGACTCGATCCCAGGACCCTGGGATCATGACCTGAGCCGAAGGCAGACGCTTAACCATCTGAGCCACCCAGGCGCCCCTTGTTAAATTTATTCTTAAGTGTTTTACTCTTTCTGATGGTATTGTGAGTGGAATTGTTTTCTTACTGATGAATTTAGAAAGTGTTCTGTTCTCTGGCATGGTGGGGGTAGGAGGATTTGAAGTGGTTCATCATTGAGTATTCTTGATTAATTATGAATGCTTATCTGTGACATGTCTGTATGTTTAACTGTCAAAGAAGCAGAATATGGCAAAGTGACTAAAGTCTGACTGAAACCACTGAATCTTTGAAGAGTGAGAAGGGGCTTCTGGATTGGCATTCTGTATGCCTCCCACAACACTCTGCATCCCTCCAATAGGGCTCACATCACACTGTATCACAGTGATCTGTTTAGGCCTGTTCCCCCCACTACATCGTGAGTGCATGAAGATAAGGACCATGTCTTATTCTTTTTTTTGGATCCTCAGTATTGAGTATCATGCCTGATAGATACATGGTAGATACTCCATGCACACTGACCACATGCCATGACGTGCTCCATAATAGAGTTATAATGAACAGACTCAAGAGTTGATATACATGTTGCTGTGGGTTCCAGAAAGGGCAGGCCAAAGCCACCTCCCTGACCCAACTTAATTGGACCAGGACTGGAACCAACATTCATCTGGTCCCATCAGCTTCCTCTCTTGCAAATTTGGAAGTGGTGCACTGAACAGCTGAGTCAGATATGTTTGCAGAGCTGAGTCAGGGTGAACGGAAACCATATGCTTGATTAGGCATACGCAGCAGCCACAAGGAGGCAGAAAGAAGCCAGTCTATAGAGAAGGGTGGAAACAGGCCACAGCTCCTGAGAGGGGGCTGCCTTGGGCTCCGGTGGTTCCTTGGGTCTGGTTCTATTTGTGAAGCCAGGCTGCACTTTATTTCTGAGATTTTTCTAATCTCTCAGAGGTGCCATCTGGCAGCCCATCAGTGAAACCTGGCCTGCAGTTGAATTGTATGGGCTCACACATCACTTAAAAGTTTTTGATCCAACATACTAAAATTTGGAAAGTTCATGTAACAAGCCAGATTCCCATCTTGAAAATTGGGAGCTCCCACCATGCAACAAAATCAGGTAGGGTTGAGCAATAGCTGCCCCCTTTGGAGAGGTCTATGCTTCTCACTCTACCACAATTCTTCCCTCTTCCTGTTGTTCCTTACACCTCTGTTCCACTCACTTATGCTCCTTGGCTGTCCCCTGGAGGAAATTAACTACCGATCCCAGCCTTATAATAAAGTGGTACTTCTTCATTTGAATTAACCCGAGTCTAATTTCTGTTCCTTGTAATTAAAACAGCCTTGATGAGAGCTCTGTGGCAGGGCTCCTCTTGACCATCCCCCATCACCATTCTTCTTTCTTCATGCTAACAGAATCCCAATTTTGTGTTCAAGAAGCTGTGGGCATCCCTTGATCCTGTGGGAATGAGGCCCTTCCTTCTCCAGCTCTGGGAGAAGACTCATGCTTTTAGATTCAGATCTTTTAGCAAGGAAACTTTTTGTGACTGTTCCTTCCCCATTCTACCTCCTTTGGAAAAATCTGATATCCAGTACCTTGGCAGCCATCTTGGGGTCATGAGGTTTCATGCATAGGGTTAAATGGCCAACATGCAGAGGAAAGTGGAGAAGAAAAACAAAAAGAAACTGGGTTTTTGATGACATTGTTGAGCTGCTGAGCCTTCCTTAGAACAGCCTGATCCTGGGCTTGTTGTTAAATGAGGAATTAATGTTCAAATGGGTAAGCCATTATTGACTGGTTTTACTGTTGCTTGCAGCTCACTGCTATCCTAGACTAGTTTACTAGTAGTAACCAAGGGAGACTCTTGATCTCACCCTTCAAGGCTCTCTGTTACTTAACATTTGCCCAAAATAATGAATATCCATATTCATTTCAAAGTCCATCCCTAAGATACTTTTACGTTATTGCCAACACATCTCACTTCTGTGTTCTAAGAATACTCGGAATAAGGGAAAGAAAGAAACCACATAGCCTTAGCTACACTGACTGTCTTTTACCATTTTCTGACATCTTTCCTAACACTGAGAGAAACGGATGACATTTCCATTAATGGAAACAGGAGCTTTTGGAAAGTTCGAAATTAGATATAAATGTCTTCTGCTAAAGGCCTTGTATATTCCAGAGCTTGGACAGCTTTGGTGGCAGCTCTTGCATCATTCAATAATACTGGCTTTTTTTCTAAGGGTAGGCAATTTAGAAGGAAAAGACTTTTAAATTTTCATTTTCTCAAGAAGAGAAAGCCCTCAACTGTAAGCCTCTTTACCCCAGGGCCTGGAAAACATTCCTTCCCACCAAGCATCACTATCCCACCCCAGCCCCCAGTTTTTCCAGGTTATTTGAGGGTGACGGGAGTGGACATACTAGTCTGGCAGTGTCTGACTAGTTGTAAGGCTAAAGGAAAAGAAAGGAAAGGAAAGGAAAGGAAAGGAAAGGAAAGGAAAGGAAAGGAAAGGAAAGGGAAGGAAAGGAAAGGAAAGGGAAGGGAAAGGAAGGGAAGGGAAGGGAAGGAAAGGAAAGGGAAGGGAAGGGAAGGGAAGGGAAGGAAAGGAAAGGAAAGGGAAGGGAAGGGAAGGGAAGGAAAGAAAAGGAAAGGGAAGGAAGGAAAGGAAAGGAAAGGAAAGGGAAGGGAAGGAAAGAAAAGGAAAGGGAAGGAAGGAAAGGAAAGGGAAGGGAAGGGAAGGGAAGGGAAGGGAAGGAAAGGAAAGGG